CTAAGAGCTTGCCTGTCCATGGCATGGAACCAAAGAATCCACGACTCACAAACACTGTTAGGACAAAAGCGTCGTTTGGATTTTTGATGCTCTTGAATTTGAAACTAAAGACTGAAGCCTGACTTCATGGATGTCAGCTGCTGAGTAGTTAATAATCTTACTAAGGAGTTCTTGTTATCACTGGAGACAGTGGCAGATAGCACTGATGATTGGAGCATGGATTACGACAGGATGAGGGAGGCTTTAAACTTGTTGCAGATTCTCAGTATGCCGGCATCTCTACGTTGCCAGATGTGACAACAACATCACTATATGGCTGCCAGACACCTACAAGACACCCACAGGCATTGGCAGCTCCCTCTGTGAAATTTCCGACTGCACAACCTCATGTAAAATAAAGGGGGCTTTATATTCTACTGGTTAGGTGAATCACTGCCTTGCCTAAAGAATTCAGGTTTCTTTCATAACAGATGCTTCAATTCAGTGCTTCACACCATTTATACCCTCTTTCAGTGGTGGGAACCATGGCTCAGTCATTGTATATAAAACAAAGACAGCGTTTCTGAAATGTGCTCAGGTGTTTTGTGGGTGAATAGCAGAGCAGAGATATAGACGATTCAAGGGCACAGTCGTACGCCTGTGGGGTGCTGAACAATGACACAGTATGCTTAAAAAGCGGATTTTTTTTTATGTGGTTTGAATTTTTTATCGTTAAATGATACATTTTTCATTTTAAGTTTAATTTCCAATTCAGAACTAGGCCTTTTCTTACAACCTTAATGGCCTCGTCTGTCAAATAATTTATAATTTACCTGCCTGATACCTGGGAAAACCAAAAACAGAGAGCTCTTTTGTTCATACAAAGCATGCGGTTGTCAATGATGCATGTACGAAAAGGTGTATGCACATAAAAAGGTCGACACCTTTTATTAAATTCTGATGCATTTACTGTTTATTCATATATCTACTATAGATTGAAATCCATATTTAGGATAAGATGAGCTTTTATCATGGGTGATGTGATCCTATAGTTTTTCCTGATTCAGATAAATGTTATCTTTGATGCAACAGGGTGAGGGGACAGGGTGAGTGAATACACATAATCAAGGATTCAGCAGCTCTGTTTATCAACTCAGTTTTCCTATTATTCAGATTATTCTGCTTGGCATCCCTGGTGTAATTAGCTGGATAACAAATCCACTTCTTTCCACACTGTGTCTGCATTAATTCCGTTGTATTCACTGAGTGTCAAGTGCTATCAGGAAAGCAGAAAATACATGGAATGGGTTGTTGTTTTAATTTTGGATTTTCAATTCTAACTGTGTGATCTGACATCGTTTGGGGCTATTGTGAGCCATTTTTTAATGCTATTTCATCGGGTCCATCAGATTAGGCTCCAGTGTGAATCCTTTTCTTAGCCTCTAGCATGGCTTGAGGGATGATATGATATTTCTCCTGGTCAAGCCACTGCTTTGGTTCAGAAAGAGACATCTCAATAACTATTGGATGGATGCATTCGTGATCCACAGAGACTGAATCCTACTGGGTTTGTTGGTTCTCTTACTTTTCCGCCAATATTACTCACACTTGAACAACCAAGAGTGTGAACAATCAAAATAACCTATTTGCCATAAGTCCAACCAGCTGATTGATCCTTCTTGAGCTGGTTGACTGCTTGCCTTTATTTTGTGTCTTGTTTTTGTTGGCTTCAATATTTTGTGGAAATCTCAGGCACACTTTTTGTTTTGGATTGACACAAGATTGACAGGAAAACCCAGAAGTTGAGGGGTTTTTTGTTCAGTGAACTACTTGGGATTAGTAAAACATGAAGTGGATTGGGCAGCACGGTGGCACGGTGGTTAGCACTGTTGCCGCACAGCAAGAAGGTCCTGAGTTCAATTTCAACATCAGGCCGGGGTCTTTCTGTGTGGAGTTTGCATGTTCTCCCCGTGTCTGTGTGGGTTCCCTCCGGGTACTCTGGCTTCCTCCCACCATCCAAAGACATGCAGCTTGTGGGGACAGGTTAATTGGATAACCCAAAAAATTGTCACTAGGTGTGAATGTGCAAATGAATGTGAGTGCGAATGGTTGTCTGTCCCTGTGTGTTGGCCCTGCGACAGACTGGCGACCTGTCCAGGGTGTACCCTGCCTCTCGCCCTATGACAGCTGGGATAGGCTCCAGCGCCCCCCGCGACCCTGAAAAGGATAAGCGGAAGTGAATGGATGGAAGTGGATTGGATCTTTGCATTTGTGAACGAAATGAAATCTATGGGACTGAGTTGAAAGAGGGTTTTTTGTGTGCGTGTGTATGGATTTATGAATATATTTTTGCAGTACTTATTGAAAATGCCATTGGGGTTGATTCCATTTGATGTTCAGGTATTTTTCTTGACTTGTTTCAGGAATCAGACTGGCAGAAAGATAATCTTACATCAGGAGATAGACTAGGCTGGCATCCCAGGTCTATAAGACCCAAACCCAAGTAAACTGTCTCGCTGCTTTTTAAGAGACAACCAAGATTTCACTCAGTATTACATAGTCCTTAATGCTCCACAAGCTACAGACATTCACCAACAGATGTCTGTACAAAATCTTGCAGATCCAGTGGCCAGAGAAGACTGTCAATAAAAGACCGTGGATAAGAACAAATCAGGAACCAACAGCCACACAGATCTTTAGAAGAAAGTGGAGCTGGATTGGGCACACCTCAGAAAGCCTAACATCACTAGACATTACTAGGCAGGGCATGACCTGGAATCCACAGGGAAAAAAGAAGAATTAATGTCCAAGGAACACACGGAACACTGACCCTCCTGGAGGGATTGCAGGAGATCACCCATATTTGAGTGCACTAGCAGGGAGTTGTCAAGTTGTCTTACGCTACTCATGGGGCAAAAGCTTAAGTTAGGCTAAGACAAACCTTAAACAACAGTAGTTGGGGTCATTTTTATAGGAAGAGGATTATGAAAGACAGAATCTGGGGGCTTAATGTGCAAATCATCTGCATATTTCTTGCTTTAGTCTTTCCAGACAGCCACTGTTGTTAGTGGCTTTAATATGGGGGGAACAATTTTGTGATTGTGGCCATGCCACTGCAACTTTTAGGCACTAGTACCAGGTTTTTATGTTTTCCATCGACATTGTGTCAGTGCTTTTTTGGTGAAATTTCAGCCTTCATGCATTTTAAGAAGCATCCCCAATTTTAGATTCTGAACAAAATATTACGTAGTATTGGTTTGTATTATGTCATTTTATGTGCGTCTGCATCTATGAAGGTCTTGGTTTTATGGTAGCTATTCCCATATTTACTGATATCAGTGGCTCTGGTGTTGAATCAGCAAGTTTTTAAACTTTTTCACGTACACAGTGTGGGTGCAGGTGCATAGCAAGTTGTTTCTTGGTGCTTTTGATGAACAAGCTGTCATTTTGACAATTTGGGACTGAAAATGATGTATTGTTACTATAAAAAAATAGTAGTTAATTTGAAGAAAATTACTAACACCAGGCTCTGTTCACCTTGTCTGCAATCCCTCGGGAGTTTCTTGTGGTTGCACATAGCACCTAGGTACTACCTCCCATAGCCACTGACTTTGGTGGTTCCAATGTTATGGCCAACAGTTTTGTGTTACATTGCCATTACCAGCTTTCTGGCATTGACACCGGTGGTAGAAATGTGTTGTAACCTGTTCTAGGTCTAAATCAGGCAACATGCAATTTAAGGCAATAGCACAACATCAGTGTAAAAATGGGGGGAGGAAATGGGACTTATGGCTTTTGAGTGAAATGGCTTTGATTGCCAAGAAATCCAGTCATTCATGTTTCCCACAATAAGTTATAAAGTACATTTTTAATTTGTTTAACACCCATTACATTCTTGTTAGGCTCAGCTAAATGCTGTGAAAAAATCTTAGCCCTGCCAAGCTGCTACGGACATTTGCCATAATTGAGAGTTAAATGCACCGAAAGAATTTTGCCCATTGCCCTACAACAATAACATTACCCTGTATGATGGTACTTTTATGAATATATGTGCTAGTGTGAATGTGGTTCTCTGGTCTTTTTCCTGCCAGAACACATTTTGACCATTTAGCTCTGCTGTGAACTCACATACAACCTCATTTCCATCATGGGGAATGAAAATGACGATTGAAAGCCATTCAGGGGACGTGCGACCTTTATTGAAAAATGACTCTATCGTTTCTAATTTCATAATGTGTCTCTGCGATTGACATAGTAGGTATATTTAGGTAGATAATATGCAGCCTGTCTGTAATTAAAGATAAAAGAACATTAAGTTCGACAGATACATGTAAGCTTCTTGATGAGGGTGCCCATTTCAATTAGGGAGCATTAAATGAAACAAAAAACCTTATGGGAGTTTCTCACTGCCAGACCCAAGGAGAATTAATACGCTGCATAGGGCCATTTACCAGGGAGTAATTACTCCCTAATTAGCCATTAGTTATTCGATTAGCCTTTTATCAGCTAGTCATGGTCAAAAGGCAGGAATAGCGGATAAGTCATCACCTTGGTTGGTACCAGATATAATTAACATGCTGTAGCTTCCTCGGAGGGAGACAACGAGAGTGCGCACTGAGGCAAAGTAAAGGTATTCTGGCCCATTTCCCGTGTTTGATCAAAAGAAACGATAAATCAGAGCCCTTTTTACTCTTCCAAGGGTGGTTTACTGCAAATAGCAGAAATAGGAGGATGTAAATGAAATTACCTGCCCACTTTTACTGAGCTGGTTTAACTGCAGCAAACCCAAATCACTCGGTCCCTGCGAGTGCTCTGGTCGGGCAGAAGAAAAAGCGAAAGGGTTTGTGGAACGTCCTCTAGGAGCGTATTGTTAACAATCTGAATGGCTCTGTGATTGAGACTTGATAAGAAATCATAAAATATTCTATGTGAAGATGGATGATTAGGTGCATATTGTTACAGGATGAAACTGCCATTAAAAGACCAGCCAAGAACCATGAATACTCCATGCCAAACTGCTTCTACCATTTATTACACATAATTACATTCTTAAATAAAAACGATTCACCGAACAGTTCCTTGCATAGAGATATTACAATACCAATTTAAAAAAGGAATTATGAAACAAACCGGTAACAAAAATAAATCTTTCTCATTTTTCCATAATAAAGAACATTATCGTACCCATACATCATAATATACAAATGATAAATTTGAAACACTTTTTACAGAGAAAGAAAAGGAGAAAGAGAACAGAGGAGAAAAATAGAAGGGAGGTGGAGGTGGAAGGGTGGTTGGGAGGCAGGTGGGGGGGGGTTGGACAGAGGAGAGGAGTTGAAAGGGATCATATCTGAGAAAATGGAAGGAAGGGGGTAGGGAGGCAAAGAGGAGGAGGGGGAGGAGGAAGAGGGGGAAGTGATGAGAGAATGCTGGTAGAAAAACGGGGGTGTGTTTGATTTAAAATTCAGACCTGGTGGAAACAGAAGTGGTGTCACACATAGTAATGCGTGTGCACCCCCCTCTGCTGAGAGCAAGAGCTGCAGTCTGGATCTCCGACTCTCACAAGGTGTAGGAAAAACCCACAAGGAGAGCGCAGGATAGGTGTTTGTGTCTGTATGTGTTTTTGTGAGTGCGTGGATTCGAGATGTGCTTGTACACATTTGCGCATTTGTGGATGCGCCCAAGCGTGTCTGCAGGCATGCGGCTTGTGTAGGTTTGTCTGCACATCTGCAATGTATGTGAATCCGTGAAGCGTGTATGCATGTACCTTTTGTGCTAAAAAAAAACGGCTACTATACAGACTTTCGTGACCAGTGTTTCATCACCGAGGGGTCATCGTGTGAAGTATGGTGCACAAGCGGACAGAAAACAGCAGATATGCAAGTGGGCGTTCCAAAAAATTCAGAGTGCAAATACAAACGGACGAAGAAAAACACAGGCACGGCAGAATTAACAATCATTCATTAAGATGACACAGAACTGAACCGCATCCTCAGAGACGACATGAAACGACCTTTCCAAGAAAACACATTCACTTTTGAAATCCCAGTTCTCGAGCTCCCGGCAGATACATGAAGAGAAAAAATGTTTCTGTCAGCTCACAACAAGAGTCAGGCAAAATTTTAAACTGTCCTGTCGTTGGGATCCATATCTTTAAACTTTTAAAATTTCAGTCCAAAATATTCCGCTATCCTTGAATAGTAAGGAGCGTGAACACACAAAAAAACCAAACCAAACCAAATAAAAATCTAAGAATAAATTAATAAATCCCCCTTTTCCCATTCAGTTGAACCAGTTCACTTCAACACCCTGTTGAAATACTCAAATACGCACACATAGAGCTGCCATCGATGATACAATTTTAACCCACAGGTTAAACTTGAATTCTTCATTTCATCTTCACATGAGGAGAGAAGCTAAGCAGGAAAAACTTGGGTCTGCTAGCCTGGTACGAAATGATAGACTTCCAAATCATCATTTCCAAATATAAAATGCTTCCAGTATTCATGATTTTCTAATCTGTGTCTCAATTCCGATACTTATGTTAGTAATTTTCCATGCAGGAAGATAAATTGACAATCTACTAGTTAAGTGACGACGTATCAACCCTGTCTCCAGGTCCAAGCATTTACTGCATTGTCTGAGGCCGTAATGATTTGTGCTGTGCTTTAGTTAATAGAAAAAAAAGCTGTTTTTAAATTTTTTTATATTCATGTGCATCACGTCTTTAAGCTCATTTTTTAAAAGCTCATTATGTGCACTATAACCAAAAGAATCACTCTTAGGCTAGCTCAGATTTCAGTGACTATATTAAGCTTAGGACCAAGATTTTTCTTTTTTTTTTTTTTAGCTAAACCACACAGCAAAAAAAATAACTAACCTCGAGCTGTGGACAGCTTCTTGCCTTCTTCCTCAACACGGAGAACAGTTTAAATCCATCATCTTCCCTGTGCTATTGCATTTGTATTAGCTATAGCTCTGCAGCTAGCCACCAGGTAGCACTTATTATGTGCAAATATCCATTTATCCCATTAGTCAAATGTCTCTAACTCTCCAAACATTGCTACTATTTAGTATTCCATCTTTGTTGTTGTCCAAATGTATAGCATTATTGTCTTTTTATTTATTTTTAGAATACTTCAGTTAGAGCATGTTATATGTAGTCCGCTAACTTCCTGCTAACATCTAACCCTGCTAAAGTTACTAACTCCTCTTTTCATGGATGGCTGGACATGAATCTTTATTGTTACACTTGAAAGAAAGCCATAGTAATTGTTTTTATTTGAGCTGAAAGAATTTCAACTGTTCTAAAGGTGCCTTGGTGTTTTGGGAAGGGAAGCAGCATTTAGACCTGGAAATGGCTAATAATGTCGGACTTAACAAGTGGATAGCAGCATTTTACCATGCCTCACTTAGCTAATGGATTTTCCTCAAGGAACACACCTGCAAACAGCAAGTATGGAAGTATGCAAGTTGAGACACAGCTAAATACTAACAGTAGTTTCAATCTGGAAGGCCTGCGAAAAATCTTGGCCTCCTTAAAACTAAGTGGTCAGTCTCTTTTGTCTTTGCAAATTGACCTTGCAAAGACAGGAGAGAGAAAAAACAAGTTATCTGACAGGTATTTGCTCAAGAACAAATAAACGTCAGACTTGCTTCCACATTTGGAATAAGTTCACTACGTGAAGGAGTTATTGACGCTGTATCTACCTTCAGAGCCACTACTACATCGTGTCTAGAAAATATTGAGCTAGACTGCACTAATGCACAAACTGTTATGTGCCTCCGGTGTAACAGAGTAAAGTAAATGTTGTGTATTTTATTCCAAAATGCAAACAGATGCAGGTTAACTTTTGCTTCAAAGCGAAGCACACAAATTAAAGTCTTAAAATAAAGAATTTACGCTTTGACGCAACTGTCCTCAGTAAAGTTTCGTCAGTATCTTCACAGTCTACTTTTGTTCAAGCTCTCTTCTGTGTTTACCTTCATCTGCGACACGAAGACATTTATGACCTTTTTATCAGTCTTGGTTGTATCTAAGTAAAGTCAGGTCACACAGGACAGATGATAATTCCAGTTTTCTCAGAGTGAATGTATGTGTCTCTTTGTGCGTGTGGGTTTCACTCCACTGCAGTTTTGTGAGCTGATGGGGCAGTTATCATTGCTGACTGAGCAGATCCGATCCTCCCCTAACACACTCCAGACCCACTGGAAATCCATACTCATGACCTCTTAGTGGTCCAGTAAAAGTTACCAGGGTGTGACTAGCTAGTTTTCCAAATCCCATTGTTCATTTTAACAGTAAAAAAGTATAAATACAAATGGTGCCTTGTATGATCTTACCAACCACACCTCTGGGCCCAGCAACATGTTCAATTTGTTTCTTCCAAAAAGTTCTTCTATTTCTGGCAGAGTAGAAATCTGCATTCAGTCCTACATGTTGATCGGGAATGTCCTTTGTTCTGCATAGGGCCATGTTTAAAGAGCTGTTAAATGGTGCTTTTTTTAAATTATTATTATTTGTTTCTCAAAAGGCTAAGAGCTGCTAAATTGGAAAAAGTAGTATGCAAGGATGGTATGAAAAGGACAGAACCTAGTGGCTAGTTAGTTGCCAATCACTCTTAAGTGCAAAGAGATCATTTTGGGCATCTACTGCAGAGGGTTTTTTTTTGTTTAATTGTTTTTTGGCTGCCAGTGAATTCTCCAACGCTGTCTTTTTTAACTGTTTTTTTTCTTCGTCAAAAAAACAGGAGAACTATTTCCTAGAAATAAAATAGCCTTTACGTACATAGTGATTTTCGTTTGTGTTCGGTGTGCTATCGCAGCAAGCTAGCTGCTTCAACTTGTGCATTTGGCTGTCCACGCTCATTTGGTACGTGAAAGCCATCGTTTGTTGAGTCCCTAATTAATTCCCGGTTCAAGACAGTGGATAAATTTTTACAAAAGTTTGCCAACAGAGTCAATTGCGCAACAGTTTTTTGACAACAACTCATTAGAGCTAAGATCCCAGAGAGGAAAAACACTCCTAAGAGCCATCTCGCATCTCATGAACCACTCAGTTCCAGCTGATGTTCTAGGAGTCTTTCGCAGTGTAGGTAACAGTGTAGGTAAGTTAGCCTTGCCTAGTCGTAACCGGTAAAAGGAAGTTCATAGAGCAAGCTAACCGCCTACATGACCTCAGTCAGTCTTCACAGCACATCAGTGGGGCACACTCCCATTTTCAAGTCTTCGAGATCTATTGGAACTCTCCATTCAAGCAAGTGCTCATATGCCATGAAGTCATAGGGATTTATGAATGGATTCAGTTGGCAGATAAGACAGATGTTCGATGAAAACTATCAAATATTTGTTGGATATATAAGAAATGGTGAATTCTAAAGGGTGTGGCGAGTATTGAGGGAGTGAAAGTCAGCCTTTGCGCTTGCTTGGCTGAACTGCTATTGACAATGAATGAACTCTTCTTTTCAATAATATGTGTTGTAACAGTAGTACTCCTCGCAGTACACCAGAGTTACAGTACAACTGGTCCAGTTTGGCATTGGTGTCCTAGCTGGCATGTGGAGCACTGCTGCATGAACAGGGCTGGAAGCATTTCACAGAGGGACCACAGCAAGGCAAAGACTGCAAAGGGTGAGAAATAAAAAGCTGCCAACTACAGGCACGTGGCCCGCCGCTCGTCATGTCACATCCCCTCTGAGACACATATGAAGGGTGGGATGGAGCGTCTGTATAGTCCACAAAACGACACAGGGGAGTTGGGGGGATGGTTGTGAGGTGAAGATGTGTCACCGTGGAATCATGGACCAACTGGTCGTGCACAGATTGACAGAGCCACTTAGGATCAGTTTGTCTGTCTGCCTGTATTTCTGTCTGTAGTCCCTGTGTGGTTTCAATTTCTCCAGTCGAGAAAGACCAGATCTTGTGTTTTCTTGTTTTTTTTTTTTCAATCCGTCCTGCTGTCTCTCTCTGAAATCCAAGGTGTTATTTTTCTGCAGACGTTTCCTCTCTTTCTTCCACTCTGCCTCCATCCTTTTCCTCTCTCTTCCATCCACTCTCCCGCTGACCTCTCCCGAATCTCTCAGATGTGCCTCTTCATGTGTAGCGCCAAGTGATCCGACCGCGAGAAACACCTGCAACCAAAGACAGAGAAACAGAGAACAGCTTGTTAGCTCGTTACCAATGCAAGGGGAAGAAGTTTGTTTTGTCGATTGAGCTAAATGTTGCTGTTAGCTAGTGAGTGCTGAGCCACTAATGCACACGCAATTAGTATATGTGTAACTAATTCATAATCAGCATTTTCAGCAGCACTCCTAATGACTTCAGCTGCGGCATGAATAACTAGAGAGCCCGCAGATGGATCTGTTGAAACAGTGTGGTGGTGGTAGTGGTGGGGAGGAGGAGCAGCATGCAAAACATGTGCTGTAAAACGATAGCTAAATTAGATGAATCAAAGCCTCTCATCTGAAATCAGGCTTGCAGAATTGCTGGGGCGTAGCTGCAGAGTGAAAAATGGAATTGCTCTGGAAATACGTCGGCCTATTTTTTTTTTCCGGGAGGGTTTTAAAAATAATTTTTACTAATGATTATTTCAACCTGATTGCCACAAAGTGACATAATATATGCTTTCAGCTGGTGTTTTGTTTATGCCACACTTGCTTACATACAGATGCAGCCATTATGAGACCTCCTTTTTCATCTCCAGATCAACAGCGTTTCTATGGCATGCTTGCTGAACTAAGACTACAGCTTCGTTCCCCAGAGAAGCAGTGCTTTCCAAAAAGAAAGTGTTGCTTTCTTTTAGATAATTGGAAGTTGGATGTTTTGCTGATTAGTGTGTGAGAAATATTTTGGATGGAGGCGGAGGCTGGTTTAGAGTTGAGTAAAGTGGATAAATTTACTAATGCTGTGCAGAAAAAAGAAACAAACAGCTTCCAATTTGCAGAATTTTCAAAGCTTCTAATGCTTTAGGAAGTGTCTCTAAACAGAAGAAAGGCTAAGTTTAAGAAAATAGCTGCTGTTTTATGTCCCTTTGTTATGACAGAATAAATAACCACAGCACGCTAGTGTTAAAGTGCATCACTCCCAGCCGTTACAGATGAGTATGACACTAAAGGTTCAAGGAAAATATTGAAAGTGTTTCATAGCTAATACACTCTTATTTATACAGCATTTTGACACCATCTACATATCAGACAGGGTGCAACCAGTTGAAGAAACATCACAAGCATGGGCTGGATCTGACTGAAAAACCACTGCATGACCATTCATTAACAAGTTGTCAATCAGAAGGTAGCTACATCTTAAAGAATAGCCTGGAACCATAATTAAAATCAGAATATCCACGTGGTAGTAGCTCTTCTTGCTCAAGTTATAAGTTTTGTTGCTATTGGTTGGCTATATTGCACAAACTAATGAGAATTAAAATCAACTGATAAAAAGTTCCCGTAAAATGGCCAATATGACCTTGATGATGAGCATGATTTGGATTAAGAATCCTTAGGTCAGGGGTGGCCAGTTAATTTTCCCAAAGGGCCACATGAGAAACTAGGACTGTTGTGGAGGGCCGGACCACACCAATAGGTTTTTAGAGAGATAAATTTAATGTGGAGCAGAATTTTGTTCATTGGCGCGGGCCTCCACAACAGTCCCAGTTTCTAATACTTACACTCGTCTGAGTATAAGCATGAGCAGTCCATACAAGTTCACAAAAATCTGACCAATACCCTAGTAGTGATCATTCTAAAAATGAAAGTGCTCATAAAACAATCAATATGACCTTGACCTTGAGCAAAATTTGGGTGAGGCCCCTTCAATCAGGGTGGGCAATTAATTTTCCCGAGAGGCTACGTGAGAAGCAGGGACTGTTGTGGAGGGTCGTGCCCACAAGCTTACAAAGGGATAAAATTAATACAGAGTTTGACTGAGTTCAGGTTATTGGTGTGGCCCTCCACAACAGTCCCAGTTTCTAATGTGGCCCACTGAGGAAATTAATTGTCCACCTCTGCCTTAGTAAAAAAAACCATGCACACAATGATCATCTAAAATCTGACACCTCTCTAGGAGAATTAGCAATTGCTTTGAACACAGGTACAGATAAATGATGGATGCCTCATCATTGCACAAGCCCATTGGTTCTATGACCAAATGAGTTAAAAATGAGAACAATGCTGTCCAGAATAAGACTTGATACTAGAGACTACAAACACATGAAAGAAGTGTTTACTGAGGTAATAAATCCAGTAAGAAGCAAAGATTATGCAGTGTGATTCCTATTTGCCATTAGAGACGTCGCCTCTAAATATTAGTCAGAAGGCTTTTGAGGTTTATGATAGCCGTGGATGTGAGGTAATTTAACCTTGACTGTTAATTTAAGAATTTTTATAGCTCAATCGTAACATACCATAGTCTTTCTTTGAACTCAGATTCTAACATTTATCACTTCATGCCTTCATGTCATGAATTTCTAGAAGATGTTCCTTTCCTACCTTGTTTTTTTTTTACACAGGTTTCAGATTGGCTCTTTCCACTGAGACAGAGGGAACTGTCTAACACGTCTTGATGAATCAGTGTTTGGCCAAGAGAGGGAGTCACATGTGATGAGCCACCAGTCATCCGTCTTACTGTCATACCTGTGTGTGTGTTACTGTCTTTGTGCGCACAAGTGTGTGCACCCGTACAAACACATGTGGGATAAATGAACGGCTCAGAAGACATTCATGGGTGTTCTGTGTGTGTGTGTGTGTGTGTGTGTGTGTGTGTGTGTGTGTGTGTGTGTGTGTGTGTATGTGTGTGTGTGTGTGTGTGCGTGTCACTGTGAGTGCGTTCGCTGAGACAGATGGTAAAGTATGAGTCACGACTCGGGGGCACGACACCAGCTGGCACACCGTAGGTCTGCCTCCTCCTTCCCTCGTCCCCCAACTTCCCCCATCCTCAATCTTCCACCCTGACTTTTTTCTGTCTCCCCTGTTTCCCCTCTTCCTTCATCTCAGCAGGGTGTGTGTGCACTTGTGTGTGTGTGTTAGGCTGGAGGGGTTGGACATCCTGTGACACATGACAGAGGTGGGCCCAAATTAGGGATGTGCCTGTAGGGGGTCTGGTAGCGGGGGGAGGTGGGAAATCAGGGGGGAGGGATACTGTATTTACAGTCTCTCCAGCTGAGACCTGATTAAGTTGACACTGCATGGCCCTCTGCCCCCTGACACACACACACACACATATGCATACACACTTTTCAATAGGCATCAAGGCAAAGTACCTTAGGTGAGGAGGGAATTTCTTTTTGTCCTTTCATAATGAACCTATGCATGATTCAAGAAGTCATATATTCAATAACACCCTGCACTGTGATCAGTTTTGAAACTGTCAAAAAAGACTGCACTGTCCTTTAAAAGACACACACTGTTTTTTGCTCGCAGCGGTTTTTGACAATAGATGACATCTTTATTCCCTAATTTCTAGCTCCATGAATAATTAAATGCCGTTGCATGTAATTTCCAGAAAAAGAAGAAAATGATTGATTAAAACAAGGCTGTCAGCACAATGTAAAGGATACAATTACAAGAATAATTTGGGTGAAGACAAATGTAAGTGAAACAAATGAAGGAATGGCAAAAAAATGTAAGTAAAACATGCAAGTAAATGTAAGTTAAAAACAAGTAAATATGAAGATAAATTTAAGTTAGCACGTAAGTAAAAGTAAATAAAAGTATTTTATAGAAAACATATCCGTATGTTAATGGCAAATGAAAGAAACTTTCCTGTTAAATTACAATAAGGCACTGGAGAGAAGCTTAAGCAGGATTAAAATGTGCCTGTTGTAACTACGACAGCAGTTCCTTTTTAATGTAAAAACAATCCAGCGCTGTACTGTGAAATATGAGCTTTACAGGATAATACTGCTGTTTGGTTGCCATCATAGAGCTATTTTGGTGTTTCTGCTAGGATCTCCATAAAATGGTTTACTACCGTAAAATATAACTGCATGTTCTCACTCACATACCCAAGGACATATATACAAAAAAAAAGCTACAAAAGTCACCAAAAAGCCTCTGTATAGCAGAGGAAGCACATTTTAAGGCGGTATTTACCTTGCAGGTACTACTATATATATATTAAAATTTTTTCTTCTGTAGCGCAATAACAAAAAGAACCTTTTAAATTTCCTTTTTTGTGTGTGATGAAATCCTTTAAAAGCACGCTTTTTATCATGGGATGCCTTGCTGCATTGTGGTAGCTCCTGTAGACAATATTGCTCAGAGATCCCAGAGGTGTCAGCGAGGGCCAGATCAAAGACAGACAGCAGGGTGTAATTAAAATAGCAGTAAAGATTTTTGTGTCGGCAGCAAGCTGATCATTTAAAAAGTGAATAATTGCCTTAAAATGTTTGGGGGTTTTTTTGGTCAGTGGAACCAGATTTAAGGAGCCCTTTCCCTTTGCTTCATAATTAAACAGAGGCCAAGGTGCCTAATTAGGAAGAGTCACAGTCAAACTATAACAGATCATCTCTTTCCGGTGACAGTCAAGGGTGTAAAGGTGCATGACTTTGAGATTCATATGATGTTTGATTTAAAACAGCAAACAAAACATTATCTATGATCTGCAAAGTGTTTAATGGCAATAGTCCATCATAACTATCATAAAAAAACAATTATTGTTAAAATGTTAACGAACAAAAAAGCAAATATTTAACGCTAATGTTTCACAACTGTTTCTATTATAGGTTTATAAACAATATGGGAGCATTATCTGTTTATTATCAAACTGTTATTGAAAATACTTGTTAAAAGCAGTATATGCAGGAAGTTGTTAGGTTATAAATCACCTGGAGACTGTAGTTTGTGTATTTAAGCATCAAACTTAGGTAGGTTTAGGAAAAGGTTGTGATTTGGTTTAAAACACTCTCATTTGCAACATTAAATGTGCACATTTAAAAGATGTCATTTAAAGATTCAATCATTTTTTCCCCTTTTGTTCTGGCTCTCTCTACTCTCTTCTCTTTCCCCTAACCCCCAACCAGTTGGAGAGGATGGGTGCTCCATGAGCATAGTTCTGTTGGAGGTTTCTTCCTATTAAAATGGTGGTTTTCCTCTCCCCTTTCTCCAAGTGCCTGTTCTTTAGAGGTCCTGTGATTATTTTTTCTGTTTATTGCTAAAATAACTGTTAGTTAAAGTTAATTAACAATTTTTTTTTTAATTCATTAGTTGTTTTTGTTTTTGTGTGGTAAACTTCTCGGATGCTCAGCTTGCTCTGCACAAGGACTTTTCAGGTGACAGGGATTATCGAGTTCACCGGAAAGCCTGCCCAATCACTGGGCCAGCCTGGGGCTTTATTTCCAGTAACCCACACACACACTTACACCTGTATTTAGGGTTATGGTGGCTTCAACAATTCCCCAAATACATTTCCCTCCTGTAAATGTCTAAAAATCTACAAATTCAACCAATTTTCACTGTTTAAACTAAAGTCAGTGACTGTTGAGATTAATGACTGTATATAAAAGATAGCCATGACATCACCCGATGGTCAGTGAGGTCCACACTTGAAGACTCAAGTTTTACCCGGCATAGTCTTATGTACCTTTAAGTATGTTTTCATCATGTATTAAATAAAACTCTAAGCTAACAATCGAGACCCTAACCTAAGTGTGTAAGAAATGAGAAATGTGGATAATTTGCCAGATTTCTGTACAGTCAGACGAGTGACCCCCTGCTGGGCAAAAAAAGAGCACAGATTGAATGGACTATAGCACCAGCTTCACCCTCAAAGGCTGTGTCTATCTTTTCTTTATTGCCAGTGTTTCTGATAATAAAGCCAGTATTTATTTACTTAATACCCTGCAAATTAAATTAATATCCCAGGTTGTTAGGTGTTTCATTGCTAATGAAACTCATTTTACACCTCTGTCCCGCTCTGAATCCAAATAAAGACTATCTATCATCATGTGTGTAAATTCACTATTAATATGCTGCACCGTCCCTAATGTGGGTCTAGAGCTGAAACACTGAGCTCAACTCGCTCAAACACTGAGCGAGTTGGGTCTTGGAGCGCACATTAGTAATCCTGCCAACACACTTTTAAACTGGGTCAGTACCAAAACACATTTCAGGGTGTGTAACCAGCATCTTGTCTTCACTACACCAAACACAATGTTAAAACACAGCCTGCTGTGCTTGTGGAAGTACTTCAAATAGCGCTCGGATAAAAAAGCGAAGAAAAACATATAAGACACGGGGAAGGAGGGAGAGGCGTGTTTTGACAGACCTGTCACAGTGGTTGCACTTAAAAGGCTTGGCGCCGGTGTGTTTGCGGTAGTGCCTCGTCAGCTCGTCGCTCCGGGCGAATCGCCACTCGCAGCCCTCCCACGAGCACTTGTATGGCTTCTCACCTAGGGGGTAAAAAAAAGCACACGTGAGCACCTGTTTGATCGCTCATACACCAATCACACGCTTATTTGTTGTTCTGCGCCCATGCAAAAAGCTCTTTGCCGCCAACCCTTTATCTTCCTGTTTGATATTGGCAGAGCTTTTATTTTAATGAGTGTGTCCTGTATATTGTGAGTGCATGTTAGCTTCCAGTCTGATAAAGATCCCTGTGCCTCCTGTCACCATTTCCTTTTTTAGGGACTGTAAAGAGAGCAATGGGATGAGATGGAGAAGCTCCCACTGGTCTCCAATCTTGCTGAACATGCAGAAGAGGAGAGGAGGGTTGAGAGAGAAGAGGTTGAGAGGGAGGGAGGGTGGGAGGGAGGGGTGAGGATTAGAGGCAAGGTGGATGAGAGACTGAGAGGAGGAGGTGAGATGAGACCAGGGGAGGGAAAAGTAGAGTAGGAGAGAAGTGTTGCAGAAGTGGATTAAGGCAAAGGAGGCTGCAGATATGCTGGTAGGGAAGGAGGGGGTAGTGATAATTAGGCCAGACACATAATGGCAAGGAGGCCACAATCCGCCAGCTGCGTCCAACTCCGAAGATGTCACCTGCATCAGTCACATCCCATCTGGACTGGTGCTCGAGGCTGACCAACTCTGCTCGAGCGCTTTCACCACGACTACTGGCTTAATTCATTGAATGCGATTATCCAAAGGGACAAAATCAATAGATCAACTGCTCTGTCAAAACTGCAATGAGAGCTTGTGTAAAGTAAGGAGGGGCCACATCTGTGAGCCAAATGTGGGAGATATTCACATAGTATTTCAGGCCGGATCTAAAATAATCAGTACTTTCTTTTTCAATTTTTTTAAAGTGATAAACCATGTCTATATGCTGATTTTGGCTGTAGCGTACCTGCTTTTATTTGAAGATCTGACTGTAATGATGGGAGCGTATCCATTGCATATGTATATGTATTTACCCCCATCTCCTCCTTAATGGGTTGGCCAATCTCAATGAAACTTTGCATACATGACTTATTAACATTTATTAACATTATTTTTATATTTAGATAAACCCCAATTTTTTGTATTTTTATATAATTTATTAATTTCATTACCCCCCTGCCAACAGCGAGCTTCCATTGCAGATCAGCTAAGAGGGAACTTAAATGGTGCAACTCCCTGTGTTCTAATTTCAGTGGATCTGGTACACCTGTGCCATTTATTCCATTCAGTGTAGTTCTTTTGGATATTTAAGTCACCAAGATGACTCTGTCTAGGCCATCAGTTTTGTTTGTGGTTTAAATGTAAGTTTATATCAGTCTGCTGAGTCTATCAGTCAATTTGGTTTATTCTCATTTACTACCTAACCCTCTTTTGCTCTCCTGGACCGCTTTTGTTTCTAGGATCAGGAGTTACACACAATAGCGCCACAATTGGGCAAGACTAAAACAATCTGGATTGATAAATAGGACTGCAGAACAGAGGCAAAATATATATGTATATCTATATCGATATATATATACATATATATATGTATATATATAAATGTAAAAAACTACTCGATTTTGCGGTGAACTGTCCCTTTAACAAAAAACTGTAGAGTTTAAAGTGCTTTTGGTCTAAATCCAGAAATTAGTCTTGTCCCCTTCCATCCCAGAGCTGCAGGTTTTTGGCCATCTGACTCTGGCCAATGAAATTCCTGGGAGGCAGAAATGCCTGAATCCGTTGCCTAGCAATGGGATCAAGGGGGGTGGGGTGTATCTGTGTGTGAGTGTATGTGTAAGAGAGACATGGGGTGGGTAGGGGGTATGTGGTGAAACATGAGGAGGCAGTGCAGCTGGCTGGATCTGGCAACGGTACGCCGCCATGCCACCGGCCAATTACTGAGCACGCTGGCAGAGCACGGAGGCAGTTGCCTAGCGACGGTAGCCGTAGAGCTGTACAGGGCAAGAGGCGGGGGTGAGGGGGCGATGATGGTGGTGGAAGTAGTAGTGGTGGTGCAGGAGGAGGGGGGCACTAAGAGACCAGAGCCTGCAGCAGTACATAACCACTCAGCTACTGACTCCTCCAACGATACACTGCCTCCGTTGCCTAGCAACATCCCCCCCCTTTAGAAAAAAAATCCACCCTCCTCCGCTCTCTCTCAAGATGCCCAAACAGTGAAGTAGAGCAGGTACCCACTCGCCTCTGCAAACAGACACCGGACTGGAAATGCTACTTGTAAAAACATACAGTTCGACTGATTGACAGTTTTAAACGTCCATCAGTAACCTAATCCACTGGATTAGCCTGAACCCAGCAGCATAATCTGATTACCTTCTGTTACTTTTGGATTACTTTGCCTGTATAATGTAGATTATTGAGCTAAGTGGATTATTGTTATGATTTAAAGAATCAGGATTGTGGACAGTTGGGCGCTGCTTTTTAAAACAATTATTTATTCCGAATGATTTAATAAAATCCACCATTAACCGGCACTTCTCCCTTTTCATTTCAGGGAAGAAATGCATAAAATCAAAATACTCCACCCCCTCCTTCCTCCATCTTTACAAATGCTTTTTTATTTTAAAATAATCAAATGAGTGCTCACATATTTCTCATCCATAATCTGATAACTGGGTGTTTCCTGAGTCACCGTAATCCCATTAGGCGTAATCTGTTACTTCCGAATGCTCAAACACACGCACCCATGCGCCCGTTCTCTCCAGCCTCTCAGGTGCCAGTGGTGAAGTTAATTACATTCCCTCCATTAGCTGACGCTGAAGCAGGGCATTTGGGTCTCAGAGGTCATTACAGAGGCTCTCGGAGAGGCGGCTTTATAGGCGCCAGCCCCGCAACCAGCACTGCTGGCTCGGAGATGAGCGAGGGGAAGAGACAAAGATGAAATATGGAGGAAGTAATGGAGAATTGAAGTGCGTTAGTAAGAGACGTGAGGATGATGGGAAAGCATGGGATGAAGCCTTTTTTCATAAAAGGCTTAATCATTTCTAACACAGTGCCTGGCAGGTTTTTTTTAAAAAGGCACTTTAAATTAGTTTTGTAGTTGATTGAAAAAATATTCTCACATATCCAAAGACACATTGTAATATTTTAAAAGAATAAGAGTGGAAAGAGCCTATTTGTGGTCGTAAAGGCCAAATGAGGTGCCATCATTCTCACAATAAATCATAACAGAGATAGCCTTACATCAAAAATATATGGTAGAGTTATTACTGAAATTATGTCACTACTTGTGTTACAAAGGTTCTTCGGTTATTTGCACACCAGGCGGGTACAAAGAAAAAAAAAAGTCTGACGTTGGACTAGAGGACAAGAGCATGATGGTAACCAGGATAGAAGCAAGCGCGTTACACTCCTAACACAACTTCAGCTCTTTGCTAGCATCTGCAAAGACAAGCATGCTAACACAAAGCTAACAAAGGCAGTGATGAGGAGTCCAGCTTTTAGCCTCCATTTCTACCTGATCATGTTTCTACTCTAAATGCTCCTTTTCAGACAGTTTTTTCTACTTTTTCCTTTGTATGATGTCACTTAGAGCTGATACTCCTAATATGGTCACGTCAGGCACACAAGCCCCGCCTCACTGTTGTTCAAGCTTTCTGTTTACAAAAGGCAGCCAATCAGAACAAAATTAGAGTCCAGGAATATAAAAAATATATATATACATATACCTAGACCCCCTTTTAAAAAAACTAAAAGTGGCAAAAGAGCAGAGTGACAGAATATGAGCCCGATAGAGAGGCGAACATGCAGAGAGAGACAGCGTACTGGCTAAAAGACCGAGACAGAATGAGAGGAGGAGAGAGCCAGAGAGGGAAAATGATGAGAAACAGGAGAAAGAGCGAGAGAGCGAAGGCAGAATAACCCAACAGTCCTCGTGTTTTACCCTACCCAAAATCTAATTGTACCATTCCTTATCTCCCATAAGCCTATTCACAAAAAGCTCTACAGGGCACTGTCATTTCAACTCAGCCCGTCTAATTCCAGATTAAATCGTTGCCTTTTCTCCGTCAGTAATTTATGGAAATAACAACTAAGAAAAAGAGGATTTGAGTAATGACATCTTTAAACTTGTCAGGATAATGGCTCAGTGAATGGGGGAGCCCGTGGCACTGCTGTCTTTTTCTGAAGAGGGTCGCTCCACTGTACCTCCCCCATCCCTGTCTTCTGTCTTCATCTACTCTTTGTTTCACTCCACGTCGCTCTTCTCCTCTTTCTTCAGCTTTTGTGGCTCCCTTTGTCATCTTAAGTCGACATTTTCCCCGTTTATCATTCTACCTTCCCGGTTTGAATAACAAGACAGATGTTCTTTTTTCACTGCTTTTATGTTAAAGCACCTTACGTGACACTGATAGGCTCCATGGGGGAAGGGAGGAAGTGTGTTTTTAATGGTGCTATATGGAAGTTGTGGCACTGTCATTAAATCATTTTAATGTAAATTTTTCTTAATAATTTACAGGGTAGAGAGGGGGGTGATAAAAAGAGGTTGCCACATTAATTTTTCTCTGTTTGTCTATTCAGGTGCGCAATGATAGACACTCCCAACAATTAGTCAATTAGACAAATAGTTAAAGAGAGGCAAATCAATTATAGTTGAAGTGATTGGTCAAGTCATAATATTAACTTAGTGCCATTATAAATAAATATAAACAGAGTGAAAAATAGGGGTGTTTTATGGGGGGGTTTAATAACTATTAAATGGTTCATAAAATAGGTACATATTCACTGGGGAAGGACCAAGCTAGCTCCAGACACTATACAGCGTCAGCACAGATGATTGACAGGTGAGCTCCTTCTCCTGCAGCCTTCTACAACTTCCCAAACAGTCAGCTGATTGACACTGCAGCTCCAAAGTTTTCTAGACATTACCCGAAAGGGGTCTTTAAGCAGGCAGCTCCATAGTGCAGCGTCTTTGTAATGTCTGTTTGATGAATCCACTGCTCATCATGTGTCCTGCCTCCTATACACGCTGTACCCGAGCAGCTCTATCGTCTAAACCACACGGAGTACTTCCAACAGTGTGAACGCATCCGAGGCAGACTATTTCCTGCTGTGTGCTGCGTGTGAGAAAGGATCAAAATGATCCCAAACTAATTCTTCTAAAATTGTTTGAAGTTAATGTGGGAAAACAGCTTAAGACATGTTTCTTAATACATTGGTAATGAGTAAGCCATGCAGCCGCTGTTTTTGGAGGTTTGTTTTTCAAGTTTCCAGAGGTTTGGACCTAAACTGTAACTATGGATCGGAGTGCTCCATCTCAAAATTCAAAGATATCACAAGACAAATAAAGGTGCCCCCTCTGCTATTTACTCTGTTAATTAACCGAGTTAAACACAAAATATAGTATGGATGTCAGATTACGGTACAGTACTGTGCAAAGCCTTGAGCCATTCCTAATTCTGCTATGGAAATGGCACAGCAGTGTATTGAAACATGTGCAAACATACATGGAAATACAATTTTAATGAGCTTGAAAGTCATGATTTGGTGTGACCACCTTTATTCTTCAGCACAGTCTGAACTCTCTTAGGCAGCTTTCTTTAAGTAGTCTCCAGGAATAGTTCTCCAGGCTTCTTGCAGGACATTCAAAGCTCTTCTTTGGATGTTTCTGCCTTTTGTTCTGTTCTCTGTCAACATGATCCCACACTGCTTCAATAAGGTTGAGGTCCGGGCTCTGGGGAGGCCGATCCATGACTGATAGTGCTCCACTGTGTGTTTTTCTATCCAGGATCCAGGTATGATTTTACTTTTAGACTTTCAGGCAAGTCAAGTAACAACAAAGAGTCTAAAGTTACAATTTAAAATTGTGTTTTTGCTACGCTGTGTGTTGTGCGTAGACACAACGGTGGTTTGTCTCTTTGGTCCAGTGCTTTGTTTTATGTTTTAATGGGTCATAGGTCAGTTTTAAGTGGCTTAACAAACAAAAAACTCTCCTCTGAAAATGGTCAGGTACAAGGAGTGGATGGAAAATGAGTGGAAAACCAGGCAATGTCCAAAGAAAACCTGGAGAACTGTTGTTCAAGAGCACTTTAAAACATCAGAAGAAAGTCTGAATTCTTAGAAACAAAATATAAAGAAATGAGCGTTGGCTCAAGACTTTTACATCATGTTGTAGCATCACTATGTTCAGATTCCTATGGTCGGTTCAGCCTTCACATACATTTTAATATCAACTACTCCACACAGCTCTCTGGATTTCAGTTTCATTTAATTGAGACTTCTTGTGATTTGTCTGTATGGATTTTGTGACTGGACAGCACTGGTGGCTCTGGTCCCCCATAGCTGGCCCAGTTGGCATGGAGTCTAATCACAAGGGTTGTAGACACACCACGCTGGGGGAATCAATGATGGCATGTCTGTGCAAATTTGTTCCAACACATAGGGTGTGATGTTTTCATCATCTCTCACACTCAGATGATGACTTCTTTTCAAAGAGGCAAGCCAGAGCTGGTAAACAAGTCGCACGTAGCGTCTTCGCTGGACAGCTCTGGTGATCTGTCAACCAAGCAGTGGATAAATTTAGAAGGCGGGGGAGCCCAATCCAATTTGAGTCGCTGTAACTTCATTTACTATGATGGACGCGCTTCGCTGTACCTCCCGCGGTTAAAATAAATAAGGAAACAGCTATATGGCTACCTATCACATGTCAATATCCATCTCATTATACCGCTGAACGCCTCTCTCGGAGTGTGGGGGGAAGAGAAAAGACCGAACAAAAATAACATCGCTCTCAGCTCGCCAACCAAAAGAAGACACACAGAAGAGCTCAAATCCAACCTTTTGAAGGCGAACCATTTCTCACTCACCATCGATAACGCCACAGTTTTCCCTTCTCCTCAGGTTAAGAGCCTTGGTGTCATCCTAGACAGTTCACTTTCCTATAAATCTCACATCAATAATCTCACCCGTTCTGCCTACTTCCATCTACGCAGCATTAAGATTGCTTCCTTCTCTTTCCACCCAGTCTACGTCCATTCTTGTCCACAGTCTTGTTACCTCCCGTATTGACTACTCCAAATTCTCTTCTGCATGGTCTCCCCCAAAAATCCCTCCATAAGCTTCCACTGCCTCAGAACTCTGCTGCTCGCATTATCACCAGAACCCCCTCCTACCAGCACATCACCCCTGTTCTTCAGGAACTTCACTGGCTCCCTGTGAAATTCCGGATAATATTCAAACTTCTTCTGCTCACCTTCAAGGCCATTCATAACCTCGCTCCTCCGTACCTTTCTGACCTGTTAACCACTACCTGTTCTGCCCGTTCACTTCGATCTTCTTCTTCTATCCAGCTTGCTGTACCTTCCTTCCGCCTCACCACCATGGGAAGCAGAGCTTTCAGCTGCTCTGCTCCCACGCTGTGGAACTCTCTGCCCCCAGAAATAAGAAACATTGGTTCTCTCCTCCAGTTTAAATCCCAACTCAAAACTCACCTGTTCAAATCTGCATATTCACTGTGAATCCACTGTTTGTTCATTTTATCTTGTGCTTTTGTTTTATTGTTCTTATTCTCCCATTGTTTTACTAAGTGTTTTATCCTATTATAAAGTGTCCTTGGGTGACTTGAAAGGCGCTCATAAATAAAATTTATTATTATTATTAAATAAGCTGCAAGTTAATAACAGCAATCTCTGACACACTGGAGAAAATGCTGAGATGGTTATCCCTCATGTCCTGCCTCATGGGATTATAATATAAAGTTACATTTGAAAAATATTTCCCTTGTTCTTAAAAATGATCCCATTACCAACCCTGGAAAAACAAAATCTGACAACTTCAGATTGAGAAACACTGACCTAGACTTATAGAACGCATAGAGGACGGCAAGGCCTGAAATAAACCGAGGAAATGGCAGCCTATCCAGGTCAATCCATCCATCACTGCGCACTTACTCAGACAGAGGACAGCTCCCTGACAGAGGTCTGAGTGGTTTGGGATTGAGATGGAGGAGCGGGAGAGTTATAGCTTCTGAACCCTCCCCCCCTTCCTTCATGTGAAGAACCTTGACAAGGAGGACCTACCCTGGTTTGGCTCAGAGAAGTACTTAAGCAGAAAGAGTGAGGATAAGAGTCGTGGTTTTTTGGGGGGATTGTTTGCCTTTTTCTCAAATCATCGCATTTTTATCTTTCATTTTTGATATTTCAATAAGGCACAGACCCTGTTCTGTGATTACAGAGCTGCTGCTTCTTGCACATTCCTTATCGTTTTGTGAGCATTTTGTTCCAAGAATGTGTAGCAGGTGGATTTGCACTCGTTATTTCCAAGTGAGGTTATCTAAAAATTTGAAAACCCAGGAGGGTGGAAGCACGGACTGTGATAAACCGGAAGATTGTTACAGAACTGCCCGACATATTAAACGCATCTCCCCGAGTGGGCGAGGCTTTGAGACATCACCGGTAGAAGAAAAATGGTTGGACACAAAAAAACCCCCCAACTCAGTGCTCATCCAAAGACAAGAAAAGAGTCAGAGTGTGTGCTATAAAAAAGAAGAAAATACTCTTTGAATCCTGTTCTTTCATCTTCGGTGTCTGTCTGTGTCTCGCTCGGCGTGCAGCGGTCATTTAGCTTCAGGATTGAGCCTTTTTAACCTGTCACCAACCATGAGCGTCAGTCAGTTTTATTACAGGTTCATGAAGGGGCTACCTGTGATTGTAGAGGCGCCCTCAGAGCTGCCGCGCTAAAAGCGGCTTATTGAAATCATATCTGAAAAGTGCCCCAACTATTCTGCTCAAATTCAGAATTGGAGTTAAAAGGTAACTATTTATTGGCATTATTGACAAGATATTTGAAAATGAAAACTTAATATTGTGTGTCAATTTCACATACAGTATGATAAGACTATAAATACTTCTGTAGTAGTTCTAATAGTGGGAATCTGACATTGTGCCCTGTGCTGTGTAAGCTATACGCTATGTATGCATTACGTATTCAATTGCGTATGAGTGATGCCATCTGCAAGGTATTTACTTGTGGAACATTTCTGTCCTCTTATTTTGAAAGTACAGTCGCTACTAACCAGGTAGACTCAGGCCTTCCTGTGTCATGTTTCCATACCAGAAGGCTGGCTAGTCATTTTTGTGGCTCTAGACGTCCACAGCGAGATAGAGGACGACTCTAAGAAGAACCTTCTCCTGTGCACCAAGCTTACAGAGGCTAGAGGACAAGGACTGCTGCCCATACCTGCTGTCCAGGGGACCGTCAGTAGGACTAGAGACTCACTAGAGAGTAAACGCATGTCAGGGGTGATTTGTGTCAGAAGCATAGCAGCACTAGTGAAAGGCACAGTTTACAGGATGGTAGTGAGACCTGCTATGATGTATGGCTTGGAGAGTGTGGTTCAGAGGCCGAACTGAAGATGACAGGATTTATATTGGGAGTAACCAGAATGGACAAGATTTGAAATTAGTACATCAGAGTGAAAGTTCAGGTTTATTCAAGGATGAGATGGTTTGGACATGTGCAGAGGATAATGGATATGTTGGACAAAGGATGCTGAAGATGAAGATGCCAGGCAGGAGCAAAAGAAAAAAAAGATTTGTGGATGCAGTGAAGGACGGAGGAGGATGCTAGAAATGAAATGGAGGCATATGATGTGCTTGGGTGACCCCTAAAGGGAGCAGATAAAAAGAGAAGAAGAAGAAGACTTCCTACCTGTATGTGTCCTCTGATGGGCCTTTAGGTGGGAGCTCTTGGTGTACACCTTTCTGCAACCATTGAATTGGCAGCGGTGAATCCTCTTCTTGTTTTCTGGTAGCTCTCCAACCCCGATCACACATGCAGCCCCCTCATCTTCATCTTTCACCTGGACAGGAAGCGTGTGCCCCGCCACCAACCTGGCTGCGCTAAGCCCCACCTTCCTGGCTACCAGCTTCAAGGTGAGTGTCCCATCAGCCGAGGCCGTCAGCGTCTGGTTGGGTTTGACGAGGTGTCGGCCGAGTTCTGGCGATGACGGAGGTGTCAGGGAGGTGACGGCACTCAGCTGAGCCTGGTGGACCCCTTCCATGCCCTCTACATTTTCCAGCCCTTGTCCTTTGGGTTTGAGGTCTCTCCTCACAGCGCCAGGGGAAGGGAAGTTCTTTCGAGTAGGGCAAAGGATCACCGGAGGTGGGCTCGGTGGTTCTGGGAGGCTCGGCAGGCTGGGGAGCAGGGTGTCTGACAGCTCCTCCTCTCCATCCTCCTTCATGTAGGCTGGAGTTAGGAGGCCATCCAAGTCTTGGTCAAAGAGCTCCGACAAACGCTTCGGCTCTGTCTGCAGATAGCGCTCCAATTCCAGGCAGGTCTACAGGAGGGAAAAAGCGGGAGAAAAAACACTTGGTTTAGATTTAACCCAGGCAAATTCACACATTCGGTCATTTGCACACCCTCGCTCTCAAATCCCACTTGACAATTTCAACAGCCCATCAGATCATCCGATATGCCTTTACATGCTGTGCAGAGAAAAACCTGCATGGTGCCATCCACTCACCCACACAGGCAACAGAGCAGCTCTGCCAGCTGTCACACACACACTCACACACACAAACACAGATAGCCACCAAGACAGCCAGGATTACCTGGCAACTCCAGCAAGACGGCTGATTAAACACTGATTGATTGCAACCGCTGTAGCACGGGAGGAGAAAAAAGAAAAAAGAGGAGGCAACGGGGAAAGCAGGAGGAGAACTCCTAAACTGTACAGAACTCCTATCAAACAACATTTTATGGAGCTTTGACAAACCATGTGCACACAGGCTTCCACTGAGCCAAGATAGGAAGATTTATTCAGCTGTAGTTATGGTCCGCTTCATCCCTATTACTCCAAACACCTCTCCCCGCGGAGGGCAAATAAAAGGCTGCATCCCAGATTTGTGCAAACTGGCATCCTGAGAAGTCTATTACTTTCCAACAAGCCGGCAAGGTTCTAGGAGGCAGAGCGAGCGTGCGACGGTGGGGTTGGGGAGTAGGGGGGAGGAAAGAGACGCTCCATGTCCAAGGATGAAGCTATTACATTTGAATGGCCGGCCACAGTTTGATCCGAGGGATCGTTGTGTTTTGCTTGTAGCCACTAACCCGTTTTGACAGCTGAGATGGAGGCTAGCAGCTCCACTGGGCGCGTGCAACTCGCCACTTCATTTGTGTGTAAATAGGCACTGACAGACAGAGCAGCTAGTTCCATTATCAGGAATAAGGTTGTGCAGACTGAACACATCAGAGACATTTACAATCTTACAGCAGCACCCACCCCACCATCACCACCCCTTTCCTTGTTTGCACCTTCTAAAAATAAAACTGCACGTTTTCTTCTCCTGTTTCGAAGGTGAGGTGGAGGGGTGGGTGTGTTGCCGAGGGATTTCTCCTTTAAGTCATTTTCTTCCAGGAACAAAAAGAGATTTGGAGTTGTTGGGGTTTTTTTTTTGTTCTTGACTGCTTACAGTATTTGCATACTGACATCAAATTAAAAAGCTGCTCTGGACCACATCTACAGCGAGAAGTGAAGATAATGCACCGTGTCTCCTCCCTAGACTGTACGCCTACATGTTGTTTTTGCTGGGGGTTTTTTACCTGGTGATGGCTTTAAAAAAATACGTTCTTTCATGCGCCGTCTGAGAGGTCTTTGCCGTTGATGGCTCCGCTGAACGAGACGTCCCACTCGCTGTTCTCTCTCTCTCTCTTTGGGAGCGAATTTAATATTGAAGCTGTCGAAATGTGACGGGAGAAGCACCTGTCGGTCAGTGAGCTATAGAAAAAACGCAACCCTGCTCTGTTTACAGCATGGCCTCTAACACCTTCAGCCCATCCACCGATTGCCCCCCACCCAAAAAATCAACCTGCTTTTCTTTTTACTTTTCTTTTTTTCCTCCTGCATTGTTGTCCCTTCCTTTCCCAAGGTGAAGACTAATTATCCGCTAAAAACCATCCAGTTAAAAGGTACTTTATTCGGCAAAATGCTGAGGACTGCAAACCAAGGTGAGTGTGTGCGAGGCAGCGATAGTTCAAGGGAGCGGAAAAGAGGATAGAAATGGATAAGTGGAGAGCGGGGCTGAGGAAGGTGAAGAAGAAAAAGAAGAAGAAGAGGAGGAAAAAGGAGACTGAAGGAGAGTGATGGTGGGGGGACAAGGTGGGAGAGTGACACAGTGTGAGCGAAGGTCTTGACTTCATTTTCTCCATGGGGGGGTGAATCCTTTTTGGGAGTGTGACATTTGCCGTAACAGGATCCTGTCAGCGGGCGAGGCACAGGCCTCTTGCACGCAAGCACGTAGGGGAGGGTTCACGCACGATAAATGTTCGGTTACGACCCACGGCGAGGTGCCGGGGGTGTACTCCAGCGTTGCATGCGTGTGCATGCCTGCATGTATAAGGTGTGTGTGCACAGAATGGGAAGACGCTAACCCTTGCACGGAGGATGAAAGCGGGCCCCAGGTGAGGCGGTGATGGGCAATACAAGCTTATCGTGGGCTCTTTCTTTGAATCTGTCTTTCTTCACTCCAATCACTCCATCAAGCCCCCCCCCACCCTCCAACCTCCCCCAGGTGGTGACATTAACATTGTTAGAGAGAAGGTCATGCAGTTGATCAGCAGTTCCTCTGTGAAGTGGTGTGGGTGTATGTATGTGGCCGCATGTAATTATGCCAGTGTCTTGTGTGTGCGTGTGTGTGTGTGTGTGTGTGTGTGTGTGTGTGTGTGCGTGCACGCGTAATTATTGCAAGTGCGCGTGTGTATAATTGCGCTACCGTGTGTGTAATCATGCAGCTCTTGTACGGGTGTTTGTGTGAACACCTACGCACGTGCATAAACTGCTCGTTGCTGTTGTGGCCTGAAGTGAATGTGCAATTGGCATCTGTGTGTGTGAAATCAAGAGCCAAAGCATCCCACAACAGCCAGGATAAAGGAACACTCATGGCCCGCCTCGACTCCATTTGGACAAACGCCGATCTGGAGAGTCGGCATCAATTGGCTCTGCACAAAGCCAGGGTCCGTTTCCTAAAAGGCTTTCGGGATGATTCCTTCATGCGAGCCAAGATAAGCTGAGACAATCCAATGGCCGTTCCAGCAGCCCCGCCTCCTCCTCTACCTCCTCCTCCTCCTTCAAGCGGGTGGTTGGGTGACTTCCCAGCAACTCCAGACATCCATGTATTTTTTCATTTGTTGTTTTTCTTTTTTCTGTTGTATTCTGTATTTAAAGAGAAAAAATCGTGGATGCCATTTGTACACAGTAGATCTACATGCACGGTGGTGTAGTCATTAGCAATGTTGCTTCACATTAAAAATAGCCTCGATTTGAATCAACTAGTCATCTGCAGCATTTGCTCCTGGATGTTCCAAAAGAAAGATACAATGACCAACTTTAGGAGGAATTTTGTTCATTATCAATCAGATTTAATTAATTAATTTTATATATTATCTTTAATCATATTTAGTTTATCGATTAATTTCCTTTACCTAGTTCAAGGTCTTCGGGAGGGTCTAGTACACCCTGTACAGGTCTCCACTAACACTACTTTAGAATCAATAATTACCTAACATGGATGTCTTTGAACATTTGTAAGAAGGCAGAGTACCCAGGGATAACATGCAAACTCCATACAAAAAGGTCCCAGGTAGGCGGTGGACTTGAGTGTAAAACCTCTTATTGTAAGGTGAAGTGCAAATCACTGCAGCACCATGCTAACCAAACCAAAAAGGAATTAGCGAACAAGGTAATGAACATGGTGATAAATTGTTTGGGATTCCAAAAGTGACAAAAAGGTTTGTTTGTATTATGTATGTAGATGTTGTTAGCATTATTAGGGGGAAAAAAGCTAACACACCACGATCTAAAGAAACTCAAGAACAGGAGAGAAGCAAAGTCATTGACATCTATCAGTCTGGAAAGGGTTACAAAGCCACTTCTAAGGGTTTTTACAGCTGCAGGCCTCACTTGTCTCAATTAAGGTCAGAGTTCATGATTCCACAATAAGAAAGAGACTGGGTAAAAATGGCATCCATGAGAGAGTTCAAGGAGAAAACCTCTGCTGACAGAAAGGATCACAAAGGCTCGTCTCACATTTGCCAAAAACATCTTGATGATTCCCAAGACTTTTGGGAAAATATTCTGTGGACTGACGAGACAAAAGCTGAACTTTCTGGAAGGTTTAAGTGCCGTTATATCTGACATAAAAGTAACAGCATTTCATAAAAAGAACATCACAGCAACAGTCAAACATGGTGGTGGTAGTGTGATGGGGCTGCTTTGCTGCTTCAGGACGACTTGTTGTAATTGATGGAACCATGACTTCTGCTCTGAAGGAGGATGTCCGGCCATCAGTTCATGGCCTGAACCTCAAGAGCACTTGGGTTATGCAGCAGGACAATGATCAGAAACACAGCAGTGAGTCCACCTCAGAATGATTAAAAAAAAAAAAAAAATGAAGGCTTTAGAGTGGCCAAGTCAAAGTCTGGACTTTTCAGACTGAAATGTTTTGGCCGTTCATGCTGGAAAATCCTCCAAAGTGTCTGAATTAAACCAATTCTGCAAAGAAGAGTGAACCAAATTCCTGCACAGTGATTTGAAAGACTCATTGCCAGTTATCACAAACGCTTGATTGCAGGTCTTGCTGTCAAGTATGGCCCGACCAGTTATTAGTGTAAAGGGACAATTACCTTTTCACACAGGGCCAAGTAGGTTTGGATAACTTTTATTCCTTAATAAAGAAAATCATCATCTCAAAAACTGAGATGATGTGAGTTTTCTAGGGTTTTCTTACATTAAATTTTGTATTACTGTGGCTGTTCTAGCCATTTTTTTTGTTTTTCTCACCATCGTTTGCAATTTGAGCACAGCTCTGGTTAATTTCATGCTGTGGCTTCAGAATGCTCAAAATAACCTTTACAAGAAACAAAAGATTGTCTATGCTGAAAAGAACTTCCTTTTTATCAGATCATTTAGCACAGAAACATTTTAAAAAGGTTCAGCGACACATGGACCAAGTTTCCATCAGACATGTGTCTTTTCTCCATGCTGCATGAGTTTCTACTCGTGAGATTTCCTATTTATCTAACAGTTATCTTATTTAACGGTCCACGAGAAAATACATTTCAGCTTCCAAAGTCACAAAGCTCAGGCACAAAAATATAAATAAAAATATCATGAAGCTGGTTTCATGTAAATTTTTTTGATCAAGCTCATATCAACTGAACTAAACTGCCTTTCCTCCTCCTCCTTTGCTGCCTTTTGTTTTACTGAGCCACACTCTGAAATCACACGTGCACAACACACCTCTGCTTAGTGAGGCTTAAAATACAGCAGGTGTGATAAATATT